GGCGGAGGTGCCACGTGGGGAGGCGGCGGAGGTGCCGCGGGGGACGGCACAGGTAGTGTCGCCAAAAAATTCCGGGTGTCCAAGCCAGGACGGGACACCGGTAAAAACAAGTTATCGATGACGCAGCGATTGCAGATTGTCAAGGAGGTCCAGGGGGGGGCTAAGAGGAGCATGGTTGCTGCAAAGTGGAACGTCGGTACTTCGTACATCAACAAGTTGATGAACCCGGAGAATATCGCTGAGCTTGAGAAAGTCCGCGATATGTTGCTCAACCAGGACGCCCTTCGCGCCCCGAAGCCGGTACACGACGAAGTGGAAGAGAAACTACGCAAGTGGATCAAGATCGCACGAGCACGCTTTGACGTAAGTACATATTTTGCATTGGTCATGTGTTGGTCAGAATACAACTTGGTTGTCTACACGCCTACACCCTTCCGCCCCTACACCTCCTCCCACTCTCGACTAAGCTGCTGGGTTGGGGGTTCGACAACCTCTACTCCACCTGTTTCAAGCTGGCCGACTGAACGCACAACCAATTCAAGGGAGAGTTGATCGAAACCATGTCGCTGCTGTTTTTTTAAAAAATGTCTTTCCCGACGCAGGCAACCAAGATTGGCGTGAGTGGTTCGATGATCCAGGCCCAGGCCTTGAAGATCGCGGCGCAGATGAGGAAGACCAACTTCAAGGCGACCAACGGATGGTTACATCGCTTCCTGAAACGTTACAGCTTCACTCACGTCCAATTGCACGGAGAAGCTGGCGACGTAGACAAGCAGAAGGTGGCAGAGGAAATCGAGAGGATTCGTGAGCAGCTGCAGGAGTTCGACGTCGAGTTCATTTTTAACATGGACGAGACGGGACTTTTCTTCGGCTGCTTCCCGAGAGGTACATACGTCACGAGGGGGGAGGCCGCCGCCGGCGTCAACAGCAAAACCGCACGGGGTTCGAAGGCCATGAAGGCCAAGGATCGGTGGTCGCCTGCTGCAATAGGACCGGGTCTCCGATGGTGCCATTCGCCGTCATCAGCACGTCGAAAAAAACGATGGATTTCCGCCACGTCCGCAAACCGCCATGTCCCTACTTCGCCCAGGAGAGTGCCTGGCTCGACGCAGCAATTTGCCAGCGGTGGTTTGACGAAGTCTTTGTCCCCTTCGTCAAAGGCAAGACCTCCAAGAAAGTGGCCCTCTTGTGGTACAACTACCCCGGCCACAAGATCAAAAGCAACGACCCGCAGATCGTCATCATCTTCTTGCCTCCGAACGTCACTTCTGTCTATCAGCCCATGGAGATGGGCATCCTGTTTGTACTCAAGTGCCAGCACAAGATCGAGATTGGTGGCAAGGCTGGCAGACCTCATCGAGGACTGGGACACCGTCCATGCACGAAAAATCCAAAGGTGAACTCAAAACAATGTAGGGGCGCTCTTTGTTACCGTCGTCGCAGGTCTTGCGCAAGCTCTGAAAATGGTGTTCCTTCAACTTTTTTGTCGAGCTGGTTTTAATTTAACATTAGCCCTTTCATCCGTCCCTGTGTTTCGTTTCGGCAGAAGGTGCCGGGGCCTCAGCGATGCAGGACAGGCGACAATGCTGGACGTCACGGAGATCTGTTCCCAGAAGTGACGTAGCTTCGACGTTCAGAAGGTCATCAGGTGCTGGCTAAAGGCTGGCATCCTTCCCAGGGAGCACTGCAACGTTCTCAAGGGCATGGACACGCGGCTTGACCGAGAGGACAAGGACTACGCGGCAATCATCGACGGCCTTTGTGACATGGTCTCAAAAATGTCGACGCCAGCAAGCGTAACGGACTATAGGTCCATGCCGCGAGTGTTGAGCGACAATTTGTTTGTCGAGAAGGGCACAGACCTCACACAGCAGGAACTCCGAACGGCGGTCAAGACGCGGCTTACGGTAGAGGACGATTCCGAGGTGTTAGAAGAGGAGGTGGAGTTGGAACTGCACGCAGTAGAGAGGGATCTCGCCGGCTTAGAATTGGACGACGACGTACTGAGCGGAGAGGGCGACGGCGACGGCAGGCCGGAGTCGTGCATAACCTCGTCCCTCACCGAGGACGAGGTTATCTCTCGCTTGGAGGACGTTCGATCCTATTTGTACGCGAAGGGAAGGGGTGGCGAGTACCGTGAGACGCAGTACCTTCTTTCGAAGACCGTTCATTCGTTTACTCATGAAACACAACAGAGCCGTAGAGCCAAGCCGCGGGGGGGGGTCCAGGGAACTCTTCGCGATATGTGGAGGGAAAAGCCGTCAGGGTAGCTTGGTCTCCGCCGGGACAGTTATATGTACTGGTGTTCCTCGTTGCGACGCTGAAATACGCTCGTTTTTTTTGTGTTTCACGAGAATGAGATAGATAGAATTCTACTTGGACTTTCCTACTTCTTCCGCTGCCAGCGAAGCAGTACATTAGTTAGCCAAGTTCAAACTTGTGTACTATCTGTAGTTGTGATCAACACGTCCCCGACTGCTGTACATCTCATTTTAAGCATTGTAAATATTTTCGACGTCACCAAACGGTTGCCATTCGTCTCGGCGATGCTGACTTTTCGTACCACACCCTTCCTTAGCAAAAGACGCGTAGTTTGAGGTATAGCATGCCTTCATTGACCCCGGGGATGGTGAGCTATCGTCCCCTGAATTTTAAGGACGCAACCGCGCTTTAAGGACGCTTTTTGGGGGGAAAAACCATGTGTGTCCGTCCTTAAAGCGGGGTCGACTGTGGTACGAATAAAAAAATCACAAGTCCCACTGCCGGTAGCTTACTGGGTACACAGCAGTCAGTCCAACGATATTCGAGTAAATTGTTGTCACATAGTCATCTTCCTCATGCGGCGCTCCGGTGCTCGGCTCGGCATCTACATATCTATACGCACACGTATCGACTTGAGGACGGTCGGGCCTCTCCCAGCTGTCAACGGAGAGCTCCGATCTCAACGGCGTGAGCTTCAATCGGTGTGACATTACACGTGCAATTTTCAGTAAACTCTTTACATGACATGTACCAGTTCCGAGATAATAATTAATCCAGATATCCAGATACTGACACAGGAAGAACGGGGAGAACAGACAGAGATGTTGCATCTGAGATGTGGACCTTCATTTTACGTAAAGGTCGTGTGCTGCTACAGTAGGTAGATGCACGGAGCGACTCACTTTTTCTTGCTTTTGAAGAGCCCTCCCTTGAGCGACAATCCACCAGTGAGTACTGCGGAGTACTCGTCGCTCATGATACCCCCTTTATCTCTCTTCCCCCGCTTGTTTTCAGCCTCCTCGTCCCAGTTGTCCTTCCCAACGGTGCAGTGGTGCAGCGGTCGCATCGGCCCGCCAGCGTTCTTGCCCGCAAAGGGCGGAGGCTTCGCAGCTGCGAGTAATATTACGACGTACCCATCACTCCGTAGTCCTGGCTGGCTTGACCAGTTGACCCCCGACGCACGCTGGCTTGCTGGGCTGTAACTGCTCTGGTGCACCTCTTCTCTCCACTTTGTCGCCCTTGTCTCCCCAAACGAGCTTCTGATCGAGGGTTCCCTCTCTCTACCACCGCAGTAGTTCTCATTAAAATTATTACGAAAAACTTCTGTGTCAAAAGGGGCAGCAGTTGGGAGGCGGTGTTGAAAGTCAGACGTGAAGGGGTGAAGGCTTCGCCTTGCCGAGGACGGGCAGGGTGAACTGGGGCGTGGGTTGCGGATGAGAAGGAGACCTGAGAACGGCGAAGAGATGCACAATGCCTTCGGATCTCAAGGTCGAGGCGGGAGCAGTACTGGTGGGGGCTATTACTCTGCACCAACAGATCGTATCAGGGAGACGAACCACAACATCATGGAGATGCAAAATAACGCACACATCGACGACCTCAGCGATCAGGTAAGGTTTGGATTCAGAACATGTCACCCGCAACTTGTAATCGTATGCATATCAACTGAGCAGAACGACTTGACCCTGACCAATGTGTAGAGAATTGGGTATTGTATTGGTGCCGTTAAGCTAGACCAACTGCGTTCGCCCGAATCTCTGTAGTAGCCCCTGGCAAGCAGGGAGGTGTTCATAGCTGATTGCCTACACTTGAGGTTGGCTCCGTCGCTTGTGCAAATCAGACGTTTTCCCGGAGTTTGCCACGCTGATGGCTGTCTTCTAACAAGGAATGCAGCAACTCTTCCGTGGCGTTCTTTGATTCCAAATGGTCAACCGGCCAGTAAACATGCGGCCCAACCCCTTCACCCTTCGCCACTCGGGTGTTGTACTCGTGTGGGTTGCCTGTACCACACGTGATGAATGCTTTGCAGTTGTGGTTGTTGCTGTGCTTCTCTGTTTTGTCACTGTTTTCAAGCAGTGGCCATCGAAGATCACGATGAGCACAATCTGAACGCACTCCACGACATTTGGTAGCATCGCGGCAAGGAAAACGACCTTCCTGCTGGTGTGCATCACACTGCCTTGCGTCGTGAAAGAGGAATACTTCAATTGGAAACCTTGCGAGTCGAATGTACCAGAGAGCAGGCGAACCCGCTAGTAGTGCAGACAAACGACGACGCATGTCGCCCGGGAGGAACCCCTGCCGACCGTTGTTCTTGTACGTCGCAATGCAAATCATCGGCTTATACGTCAAAGAGATGCCAATGGCGGGTTTCGTGGGTGACAGTTCACCTTCAGAGCACTTTTTGCTCGTATCCTTCGCCGTACTTAGCGCCTTATTTGGCGTCTCCGGTTCACATTCTCGATGCTCCATTTCTCTTCAAAGTTTTGCGGCCGCAAGTACGTCGTTGACACTAGTCCCACTTGCCAACGTGTCGACATTGTCGAGGTTTTGGACTTGGGTTTTTCGATTGTCCTTCCAAGGCCGATGTTTGTGTGTTCGTCCCATCTATTTTGGCTCTAGTCATACACCTTTCGGTGTGAATGTTTTACGTATCAGTCTGGGTAACAGGAGTTTTTTTTTTTGTCTCGATGAACCCTCTCCGATACATTCAGCTCAACGCATACGTTGTGAACTTCAGCTGAAGTCAAGAATGCCAGAGAATACTATCCCACAGACCTTTTGTAGTGCCAATGAGTGCCGCATGAGGTACCTTTTGATCCCGTGGCTGAGATTCGGACTCGTCGTCAATGACATTGATTGCACATCACCTACGCGCCGTTGTTTTTAAGTTTTTACTGATTGCCGCGCGTCCTGTTTGGTCACAGGTGTCTCGACTCAAGCACCTAACAATTGATATTGGACAGGAGGTGAGAGGTCTTCCAGAGGAAGTGAAACAGAAGCTTTGACGTTGGGCTTCTCTCGATTCGAGGGCGTTACTCTTGATGAAGGGATCACCCTCGGTCCTTTCCGTGTTGAAGAAATAGTCCCAGCGCGGTGGTTTTTCGTTGCTCATCACCGTGTAACTCGACCAGTAGATGCCATCGTCAGCCCCGTTGCTGAGGGTGCCACCGGAAGCAGTTGCCTATGCCCGTCTCACAGTGATATGCGCCTCTTTTTGATTGCCGGTTCCATTGTATCACGTGACAGGTGCGCAGTCAAAACGACTTAATTAGCGGAATGGAAGGACAAATGTTCGATGCTCGAGGTCTGCTCGGGGGCACTCTTCGTCGGATCAACACCATGATGGCCCAGGGCGGTAGTCGACACATGTGCTATCTTGTGGCCTTTATTGTGTTTACGTTCACGGCCATATGGTACATCTTGAAACATACCAGAGGTGGACGGTAGCATGATTCGTCTGGTGGATGTTGTGCGTTGTTTTTGGCCTCAGGACTGCAGCTGCCTTTCTCGGCAATCGTGGGCTCGAAATTTCGAACACTTGAAAACGTCGTGACGTTGTTAACGTGGTGGTGTCTTGGATACGAACTTTCCAGCTAGACGTTCCCTGTGGATCTGTTCCATGTGTTCCAGGTTGCTATCTAGTATTCACCATGCCTGGTGCCCAGGTCAGTTGTCAGTTAGCATGGTTTTCCCTGATTTATGCATACGCATCGAGATGCACTTCTCGTTGGAGTCTACTGGTGTTTCTGCTGTGTTTCATTCGTAGATACGTGTGTTGTAATGTTAGGCTCCCAGGGTAATCATTGTCGTACGTAGCAGGTGTCCTGGCAGGTTGTGAAGGCTGGCCTGTATGGGACGCCTACTGCAATCTATGTACACTATCGTATACTCCATCCAGTAAAAATTTTCACGCTCCGCCAGAATCACCTGATATTTCTATCGAGGAATGTACGACCATCCTCCCTGATGCCCACAACTGTCAGTGCGCGGCCAGAAGCTAGTTACGTCTGGGACGGATGTTTGGTCCGGCATTTTTTTTCGGGCAGAAAATCGCAGTCAGTCAAATTTCATTTTCAGAAAGCTTCAAACGTCGAATGTGGGGTTCACGGTTTTTGCACCGGTTTGTGACAGGTCCCGTGGGATAGCATACTCCGGAGTATGACGCCCAGAGTTTCGGTTTTGTGGATATGTTGGAGGCGATGGATGTTTACCGACTAAAAACTGGTTCGAACAATTTTGGAAATGCCCGCAGGTCCTTTTCGTCTGCAAGAAAATGTTGGATATTGCCCAAAGTCTACGCCTCGGCAGGAACCCTGACTGGCTCGATAGAAAAAGGCCGACATGCAGTTCTGTTTGCCATATTGAACGAAATACATATCGTAGGGTGAGAGAGTTGTCCACGTTCTTTTTTATGTGACGCCGGCTGAATGCGTCTAATGTTTACCAAAGGCAAAAAACTTAAAGGTGTAGTAAGTAGGCAGACTGACTGGGGCCAGATTAGATGGGAAGACAAGAAAACAAGCATACAAATGATACCCCCCTGCGCTGCTTCCCCACGTATTCCCAAGAACCACCTCTCATCAAACGCGCGAGCCCATACTGCTGTCGTGGTTTTTATAGTATGATGGTTCAGTGTTCAAGGGAGGTTTGCGAAAGATTCTAAATTCTTGTTTTTCTTTGCAAGTTGTTCGACGGAGAGTGCACGGGATCACATGATCACATGACATGGTTGGTGCCAACTGTGTGTCCGGCATTCGATTTTACAATGAATGTATTTGGTACACCTTCTCACGTCTGTGGCTCACCACTGCACAGCAGCCTGGACGACTCCCTTGAGCGAGTAGAGGATAGAAAGTATATCTGTTCGTGGGGAGGGATAGATTCGTTCTGCTGCTAGTCTATACGTTGTGCTCCACAAAAATATCCCATTCAATACTCTTTTCCTAAGAACTCGCTTTTTCGTAAAACATACAGTATTTGATCACAGAAAAGACAAACCAAATAACTGATGCGGCTGCTGCTGCCGCCGTATCTTCTCTGTGTTGAGGTAGGCAGCGGTGCCAAAATAAAAAGCGGGAACTGGAACGAACAACGAGCAGTTGACAGACGGGACGAAGAGACATGAGGGGCTCGAACAAGAAACCTACCGGGGTACCCTTTATACACCATCTGTGTGTGCCCCTCTCTCTATCGTAGTACATTGTTCAGCTCCTCTCTCTATCGCCACACACACTGGTGTTTGTGCATCCGCCGCGTCCGGCGTGGACTCGCTTCAAAGGGTAAGATCACGCGTTTATGTGAAATCTTCCTTGGAATTCTTAATTGGAAGGCTTAGAAGGTATTGCCGTCAGGATCCGAATGTCTCTGAGCGCCATGAGTTTCATTTTGTCTCCCCTCTCCTTCCTCGCCACCGCTCTGTGTTCACCGTTGTTCATCATTGACGTGCGATTGTGAAAAGGGATGGGTACGGCCTGGTTGTGGAAATTGGTGGAGGGGGGCTCCTGTCTTTCGTGTAGATCCGCCCGTTTCCGTCTTGTATTTAGGATGTGAGAGAGGAACACACTCCTCGAACGCCTGAACCAACCCCGTGTTAAACTTGCAAGGAGATTGTGAAGAGATCTGCCGCGTTTTTAGAAAGTAAACATAACCTCACAGAAAGACTACCCGCCGCGTTTGTAATTGTTGGATCGTTGATAGGTGGCAATACGTACGTCGTGGTAGTGAAAGGATCCGGCTACGAGTGTGCCCATCCGTGTGATCACACCCCTGCTTGTTTACATCCAAGACCACCCCACCCTCTGACTGTCGGTGTTTACATCAGGGTCGGAGAGAGGAGAGAGGCTGATTTTCAACTCGCACGGGCTACCAGTTTTTTTCGGTATTGGCGTGGCGGTTGGTCACCTACAGCTGCTCGGCCGTCGCCATGGATGGTAGGCCCCTAATGGATATTGTGTGGTTCTAGATAGTGCTTATGATCCCCATGGATGGAATTCTGCTATTGTTGAGTGCTGCCGTAAGGCGATACCCAATTGACATCAAAATCCGTGGATCATTCATCACATGTATGCACACCCTCAAGAATCAGGATACAAACGCCTAAGAGGGCGGATCGCTATCCCTTCCCTCTCGCGCCTCTCACCCCCCCCCTCCGTATCTCTTTTTCTCCCTCCCTCCCTCCCTCTCTCCTGTTTCTCTCCTGATTCTCTCTCTCTATTCCTCTGTTGGCATCAAGGAGCGTCATTCGGCTGTGCTGCTGTAGAATTTTAGTCGGCGCTTGAGGTTTTTTGTTCTCCTGTTTGTCGGACCAACGATAGGACGACAGGAGGGCGCAGCAGTACCACCACAAGTACAACCTGTTTTACCCCAACTCAACCGCTGCATGATTGCGTTCCCAGCTACATTATTTGTAGTCGCATTGAGGAGTTATATAACTAGGATTCGAAGTGATGGGCCACAGGTTCACTGTTCGTATCGTTTGAAACAGGACGCTAGCCCTTCTCTAGACCATAGGCAACAGTTGAAAAATAAACTGTTTTGCTAAGCGCTGTATTTGTCCTCGATGGAGTCCAACCTCGAATCCATCTCTCTGGTGGATGGATAAAAGTGGCATGACCTAAGCCAAGGATGGGTGAGCAAGACCACGTTGACGATGTGTACAGCGAGAGCTGTGACCGGCGGCCATTTGTAACCGATCCAATCCCGGTTTGCTGCCATCTTCATACAGCACAGTAGAGGTCCCTGTTTAGTGCCGGTTGAAAAGTGCCGGTTGCCGGTGTTTTCGGCTCGCACACACTGGAATTTTAAGTCGTTCTGTACTTTGAATAGTGCCGATAAAAAATTTGCGCACACCCCGGCACTAAACAGGGACCTGTACTGTACTTGTATAGCAGTACTAGAGTAGATGTGAAAATCCAAATCTTCGTGGATCTGGTTTCGTTGATCAGCAGCCCACAAGACGCGGAACCCGGAGTTGGGGCGCTACTTGTGTGAACTCGAAACTTAACAGTACAGTTTCAAAACGCGTGGAAGAATTGTGGCATTCGATTCGGTACTCATGATGACTTCAGCAGTGATGAATTAAACTGGGAAGTCGTTGCGTTGTAACTCTCCCTAGAAAATGGTAACTTGATGCACAAACTGAAGCTTGCTGTGCTTCTTGAATGTTGGGAAGATGAGTCTTGTGTGGTATTTTAGTTCTATAGGCTAGTAGTACATGCCTCCCCAACTCACCAAAGGGAGCACTCTTGCAGCAGTTTGCTTGTTGGCTCTGTTTTTGAGAAGTTGGACTAAATTGCACCAAATTATATCACCTATAAATCACCTTCGTGGATGCGAGGTCGGTCATAAACTAGCCTGTGCGCTTGGTACCGCTATTCTGCGGGCATGCCGGCGGCTGGCTTCAACCCCTGCACAGTCCGAAATGATTTTTCAGAACTTATTCACAGGCGTTTATTTCTTCTTGGCTATTTCCAAGTTATAAAAAAGTTACTAGGCATAGCTAGCGCGCTTTGAGTGTTCGTCCCAAGTTGTGCCCCACGACTGCGTTTGAAGAGGCATGCATGTCAATCGGTACCAGTAGCTATACTTCGGCGCCTAAAGAAATGTACCTCAAGACAAAAATAACTCAAGGCGTTGCTACACACACGTATCTACACACACGTATCCAAGTATCTGCAGCTGGCTGCCAAGAGTTGTGATCGATATGACGGATAAAGCCGTGCTCAAGAGGATAACCCCGGGGCAAAGAGTGGATTGATGGGACGTGCCGCGAAGACTACATAGAGTACATGCGAGAAGTCCAATGTGTTCTGATGTGGGATACCTCGTCACCCCCATTTTTGCCATGCCTCGTTTCAAGCTCTGTCCAAGCTTCCGCCTGGGGCACGGAAGAAGCAGAAAAAGCGCGGCAAGAAGAAGGGTGGCAACGGCCAGGGGAACGCCACGAAAGGTGCTACTCAGTATTATGGACGTGTTTCTGGTGGCGCTGGTTATCGGAGTATCGTCACAGTGATGATCTAACAGCGTGGTCATCATTTAGTTCTACAAGTGATTAATCTTGAATACACGGATATGGTTGGACTGCATGTTACTCTTGCCTTACGCCCACGGATATGTGACATTCGTCCGTTATTTATTACACAGCTGCAGGACGTTGTTGATCGCCCACCCCTTTTGCGTGCCGACTCCAGGATCTCCCCCAGCTTCAGGAGGTATCTACAGCAAGAGCGGGAGCAAACGGGAGTCGTCGTACTGTAACACCGATAGCTCTCTTTCGTCGGAGTTGGGGGGGGGGGGGGGGGGGGGGGGGGGGGGGG